CTGTCCGCGTTTTAGTTTCATCGGCCTGAGTTTCTTTGTAAACAGGCAACAAGTTCTTTGAAAAATTGAAAGTAATTCATGTCACTCTTTTCTCCTATTCATAGCTTGTTTCATCATTGATTGTGTTAATCGATTTTGTGTAATTATTGGATGGCATGACATTTTGGTACATTTTGTTGAGCTTGGATCTCCGAATCTGATTACTTCTTTGTTTCACGAGATTATAATTTAGAGTTGGCCGCTGTTTCATTTTATTCAATAAACGTTCAAAGAGTATATATATATTTTTAGGAATCTGGAACTTACAGTTGTTAATGAGTGGATAATGTAATCTTTGATGAATGTTTAGGTATTTTTGTTTTGAGTTAATGTCATTTGGAGTATAAGATTAGAATGAAATCTAACTTTTTCTTCCTATTTTCTCGTGCAAAGTATAGGAGAGCCCCTTTTGTCTTTTTTTTCCTTTACCATAGAAATATACTTAGTAGGATTATATATCACGTTCTCTGAAGTCTGCTCCCTGTAAGGTTCAGTAGTTTAAAGTCATTTTCACCAAATTTGTAATCAGACTGAAATCTTTTCTAATTCCCCATCTTCTGAAATGTTTGACCTACTGGCATGTCGAGGTTTTGAATGAAATTAAGGTTCCATTTTGGCTGAAATTTGCGAAAGAACTATATTAATCACTTTAACAGCAGACCGTTAGGGTAACAAATTGTAAGTTAGACCATCTTTTTACAAATTAATGGATATCAAAATAGCTCAACAAATAGAGTAGTGAGTATTAAACATTTCTAAATGTGAATAACTAGCATATATGATCGTGATCGTGTACACGTTTGCGTGACATGATTACGATCCTGAAAACAAAATCGGAGTATGCGTTCGCGCAACTTCGGCTAAAACTTTCTTAATAACAAAGCGTTATTAATTGTGGACACGTTGGCGTGACATGATTTTTGACGCGCCAAACAAAATGGGTACACGCACGCATGACCTGTTTTAAGATAATCTCTTAATTAAAAGAGGTAAATGCACATAGGTTTTAAAATCAGTAATTAGACAATTTTAATAAGCCAAGTATGATCGAAGCGACCATGCAAAAATCACGGAACTCGGTAGTGCCTAACACCTTCTCCCGGGTTAACAGAATTCCTTACCCGGATTTCTGTGTTCGCAGACATAAACAGAGTCAAATCTTTCCTCGATTCGGGACTCTAAGCCGGTGACTTGGCACACCATAAATTATCCCAAGTGGCGACTCTGAATCTAATAAATAATCACATTTCAATTGTCACTTTAATTGGAAAAACTCTCTTATACCTTCCCGGGGGTAGTGACAAAGGAGGTGTGACAGAAACTGGAACACCATGCTGGCGAACGATCTTTCGAATATAAATCTCAGCTAACCGCTCTGAAGAATAGGTAGTACACACAAGAATGAAGTGCACGGGCTTAGTCAGCCGATCCACAATGACCCAAATAGCATCGAACTTCCTCAAAGTCCGTGGAAGTCCAACTACGAAATCCATGGTGATTTGCTCCCACTTCCACTCTGGAATAACCATCTGCTGAAGTAAGCTACCCAGTCTCTGATGCTCATATTTCACCTGTTGACAATTGAGGCACTGAGCTACTCATCCCTCTATATCTTTCTTCATTCTTCTCCACATGTAGTGCTGTCTCAAATCCTGATACATCTTTACGGCACCCGGATGGATGGAATACCGCGAGTTGTGGGCCTCTTCCAGAATCAACTCCTGAAGCGCATCCACACTGCCTACACATATCCAACCCTGTATCCTCAATACTCCGTCATCACCAGTTGTCACATCTCTGGCATTGCCGTGCTGAACTCTGTCCTTGAGGAAAAGTAAATGAGGATCATCATATTGGCGCTCTGTGAGTCGATCAAACAAGGAAGACCGAGAAACCACACAAGCTAAGATCCGACTAGGCTCCGAAATATCTAACCTTACAAACCGATTGGCTAAATCTTGCACATCAACTACAAGAGGTCTCTCCCCAACAGGAATATATACCAAACTGCCAGACTCACCACCTTCCTACTCAAGGAATCGGCCACTACATTGGACTTCCCTGGTGGTACAAAATAGTAATATTATAATCCTTTTACAGCTCCAACCATCTCCGCTACCTCAAATTGAGATCCTTCTGCTTGAACAAGTGCCGGAGGCTACGATGATCAATAAACACCTCACTAGACACAACATAGAGATAATGCCTCAGAATCTTCAACGCGTGAACAATGGCAGCCAACTCCAAATCATGAACAGGGTAGTTCTTCTCATGGAGCTTCAACTGCCGAGAAGCATAAGCAATCACTCTACCCTCCTGCATCAACACACACTCGATGCAGATCCGAGAAACATCACAATATACTGTATAAGAGCCTGAAGCTGATGGCAAAACTAACACTGGAGCTGTGGTCAAGGCAGTCTTGAGCTTCTGAAAGATCGTCTCACACTCATTCGACCATATTAAAGGAGCATCCTTTTGAGTCAATTTGGTCAAGGATGATGCTATAGATGAAAATCCCTGAACGAACCGATGGTAATAACCCGCCAAGCCAAGGAAGCTGCAAATTTCTATGGCTGAGGACGATCTGGGCCAACTCTCAACCCCCTTTATCTTCTTCGGATCAACCTGAATACCCTCACTAAATACCACGTGCCCCAAGAACCCCACTGAACTGAGCCAAAACTTACACTTGGAGAACTTTGCATAAAGCTTCTCCTCCCTCAACCGCTGCAATACAACTCTGAAATGCTCAGCGTGCTCCTCCTCACTATGAGATTATATAGGAATATCATCAATGAATACAATAACAAACGAGTCGAGATAAGGCCAAAACACGATGTTCATCAAATGCATGAACGCTGCTGGGGCATTAGTCAGCCCAAAAGACATCACAAGGAACTTACAATGACCGTATAGGGTCCTAAAAGCTATCTTAAGGATGTTCGAGTCCCTGATTTTCAATTGGTGATACCCTGACCGGAGATCAATCTTGGAGAACACTCTCGCTCCCTGAAGCTGGTCAAATAAATCATCAATATGAGAAAAAGGATACTTGTTCTTGATTGTGACTTTGTTCAACTGCCTGTAATCAATGAACATCCTTATAGGGCCATCCTTCTTCTTCACAAATAGGACACGCACACCCCACGGTGACACACTAGGCCGAATAAAACCCTTATCAAGGAGTTCCTGAAGATGCTCCTTCAACTCATTCAACTCCGATGGTTCCATACGATATGATGGAATAGAAATGGGCTGAGTGCCCGGCACCAAATCAGTACCAAAGTCAATATCCATATCCAGTGGCATGCCCGGCACGTCTGCAGGAAACACATCCCGAAAGTCCCTAACTATTGGAACAGAATCGATACTAGGATTCTTTAAACTGACATCCCTCACAAAGTCTAAGTAAGAAAGACAACCCTTCCCAGCCATCCGCTGGGCCTTCAAAAATGAAATCACCCTACTAGGAACATAATCCGTCGAATCTCGCCACCCAATCCGTGGCACACCCGGCATGACCAACGTCACTATCTTAGCATGACAGTTCAAAATAGCACGACACGAAGATAACCAATCCATGTCTAATATCACATCAAAATCCACCATACAAAGCAATAAAAGGTCTACTCGGATATCCAAACCCCCAATAGTCAGCACACAAGACCGATATACACGGTCCACAACAACAGTATCGCCCATCAGAGTAGATACACAAATAGGTGAAACAAGAGACTCACGGGTCATATCCAAATAATGAGAAAAATATAATGACACATATGAAAAAGTGGAACCAGGGTCAAGTAATACAGAGGCATCTCGGTGGCAGACTGACACAATACCTGTGATCACCGCATCTGAAGCAATAGCATCTTGTCTGGCTGGGAGTGCATAAAAACGGGCCTGACCACCACCTGAACGGCCTTCCCCTCTAGGGCAACCCCTAGCTGACTGACCTCCACCCCCAGTTGGCTAAGCGGGTGGGAAAGTGACTGGTGCAGAAGCTGAAGTCCGACTCCTCTGCTGGGATGAACCTCCCGTAAGACGGGGATAGAAACTCTTGATATGACCCAAAACTCCACACTCGAAGAAACCTCTACCAGCCACTAGCAATGGGGACTAAAGGGAGCCCCGAGCACCGGGATACCTACAAGACGAACCAGGCATAGATGATCCTTGAACTGATGGTGCATGAGTTAAACTCTGAGCTGGAAGGGAACTAAGAGATGAGTGATCCCGATGCGAACTGTGAGAACCATGGCCAGATGATCCACCATGGTGACCCAAACGAGCTGACTGAGCATGTCTGAATGGACGGCTTTTACCGTGCTGAAACTGACCTCCAGAAGGAACACCATCAATACTACCAGATCCCCGAGGCCTCTTGGCTCCCTCTCAACTCGCTCCTGGTAGCAAACTAACTCAATCTCTCTGGAAATGTCAACTACTCCTTAAAGGAAGTGCCAAATACTCTCTCTCTTGTTAGAAAAATCCATAGCTGATAAGTGAGGCCATCAAAAAACCTCCTAATCCTCTCCCCATCCATGGGAACTAGCCATATAGCATGACGGTCCAACTCGGAGAATCTCATCTCATATTGTATCACGGTCATATCCTCCTGATGCAACTGCTCGAACTTCCTCTGCAGCTCCTCTCTACGGGAATGCGGTACATACTTCTCTAGGAAGAGAATGGAGAACTGATGCCAGGTAAGGGGCATTGTACTAACATGCCTACGCTTCATAAGCCTCCCACAAAGTGAAGCCAACTCCAGAAAACTGAAAAGTAGTAAATGAGACCCCACTGGTCTCCAGAATACCCGCTGTAGGTAGCATCCTCTAACACTTGTCCAAGAAACCCTAGGCATCCTCACCCTCTGCACCACTAAAAGTCGGAGGCTGAAGTCTACCAAACTTCTCCAATCGACACTGCTCGCCATTAGGCATAACTGGTACCACTTAATCCTTAGTCGGTGCAACCGGCTGGGATGGTGGTGCCTCCGGTGTCTGCAGTCCCTGAACATTCTGCTCGGGTGTACAACCGGCGGGAGTCTGAATGCCTCCCCAGGCCTGAGAAGTAGGTGTTGTAGTAGAAACTGCGACCGCCTGAGCAAGATTAGTACACACGGTCAAGATCTAAGCCAAGGTCTCATGAAGACCCAGAATAACAATAGGCACATTCGGTGCCTGAGCTGGTCCTGCTGGAGCATCCCCCACTAGAACATGATCCTGAACTGGGGTAGCTGGTGGATCTTTAGGTGCTGCCTTAGCTATTGTGCGGTTTACACCCCTGCCCCAACCACAGCCTCGACCGCGACCTCGACCTCTAGTGTCCCCAACTGGGCATACTGGTGGTTGTCCGTCCTGACACGTGTCCTCACCATCTGTGAAAGAATAGAATAACATAAGTTTAGTTACCAGAATCAACAGATTCGCACTCCTCCCAAAGATAAGTACAAACATCTCCGTACCGATTTGCAAGACTCTACTAAACCTGCTCATGACCCGTGAGACCTATGTAACCTAGGTTAAGATACTAACTTGTCACGACCCCAAACCGACCCAGTCGTGATGGCGCATATCTTGAAACTAGGCCAGCCGACACATTTCTAAAATAGTTCAACAATTTATTTAAAGTTTAAGTAATACCATTTTCAACTGAAATTCCATAAAACATATAAAGTCAAACCAAAATAAGAGCGGAAAGATAAAATCCCCCGACCTAGGGTGTCACTAAGTCATGAGCAATACTACATCTGCCACGAAACATAACTAGACCAAAATAGTCCGAAAATATCCATAATATACTAGAGGGTAGATAACGAAGGAGAAAGGCGGGACTGCGAACGTCAGGCAGCTACCTCGCTATCCTGATGAAATATGCGTCTGGAACAGTCAACAGCCACTACCGTGGCCTGATATACCTGGATCTGAACACAAGGTGCAGGGGTAAGTAAGTACACCAACTTAGTAAGTAACACGTCCAAACAATGGACTGATAGGTAGTGACGAACTAAACCTCAGCAATTATAAAAAATTTAGATTGTACCAGAAAGTAGACATGCTGGCAATTCAATATTTTTAACTTGACAGTAAAAAAGTACTAATCCGGACAATGTGAATTATAAAGCTCAGTAAAACTCTACATGTCAATGCCAGGAATGTACGAAAATGCACCATGTGCTCCCACTCTCAAGTACTCAACCACTCGGTACCGCATATGGACATCCAGCCCACAGAAATCCATCCCGCAATATATGTAACACACTGACCTCAAGTCAACCGGCACCAAGGAACAAGGGTAATCCAACCCTGAGAAGAAATCCATCTCCAGGTATCAGTGCTTCGGACAAATCTATGTCCAGGGAAATCCATTCCTCAATAGTATCATCTGCGCTCACTGGGGGTGTAAAGACTCCGGAGGGGCTCCTTTCAACCCAAGTGCTATAACAAGCCAATGAAGGCATAATCAATAATCTGTTGCGGCGTGCAACCCTTAACTTTGAACCAAATTCAGGCTCTCGGCCTCACTTAGTCGACTCTCCAGTCTAACACACACGGGCTCACAATACCAAGAAATTAGCCCGAAACAATGATATGATGTGCCAAACAACAATAACCAAGACTGAGATATGATATAATATGCATGAACAAAACTGAGTATAGGATATCAATGAAGCTTCTCGGTTCTTAATAGTATCGGCGTGAAGACTTAACATGATAATTAGCATGATTTACAGCTCAATCACTACATAGATATTAGCAAGAAAGAGTCACTAAACGGTGCTATGGAATGATCCAGGCCGCAATTCTCACGGTCCACGCCTACACGCCTGTCACTTGGAATTTGTGTCACCTCAATATAAGTCATAGAACATATCGTTCGGGGTTTCGAACCCTCAGAACCTAGTTTGGAAGTATTACTTACCTCAAACCAAGCCAAACTCTAGCTCGTGATGCCCTTACCTCTCGATTCAGCCTCCAAATGCTCCGAATCTAACCAAATTAGTATATTATCATCAATATATGCTAAAGGAATGAAACCCATAAAAAATTATCAAATTAGACCAAAAATCCTGAATTTGGCTCAAACCCGGCCCTCGGGCCCATGTCTCTAAATCCAACAAAAATTGTGAAAAATAGAAACCCTTTTCAGTCCCGAGTCTATTCATACCAAAATCATCAAAACCGGACCTCAAATGCTCCCTCAAATCCCCAATTTAAACTCTCCAATTTCATGCCTTAATCCCCCATATTTCTTCCCTTATTTCCACAAATATCATGATTAAACAATGGAAAAATCGTCATAACACAAGTAATAAAGCTTAAATTGCTTACCCAACTGAAAACCCTTGATCCCTCTTGAGAAATCACTGCCCAAGCTCAACACCCTTTAAAAATGGAGAAAATTAGGCAAAATTCGCGAAGGAGACCTTTTATACATTCTGCCCAGCGTTTCCCGCATCTGCGGTCCCCATGTCGCTTCTGCGATGCCGCACCTTTGGAAAATCTATCACAGGTGTGGTTTCCACTTAAACCTCAAAATTTCGCTTCTGCGGTCATATACCTGCATCTGCGGTCTCGCAAGTGCGGTCCTTTGTGCGCACCTGCGGCTTTGCCTCACTTCCAAATTCTCCCCATCTGAGGCCTCCCTCTCGCACCTGCGACCTTGCACCTATGGTTCTAAATCCGCAGGTGCAGAAATGACAGAAGCAGCAACTTCAGCTGCTCAAACCAAGTTCCAATCTTCCCGTTAATCAACCGAATTCATCCCGAGGCCCTCGGGTTCTCAACCAAAAATACCAACAAGTCATATGCCATTATTCAAACTTATTCCAACCTCTAGAACACTCCAAACAACATCAAACCATCAAATCACCCTCGAATTCAAGCTTAAGAACTTCTAAACTTCCGAATTCCGCAAACGATGCCGAAACCTATTAATCTCACCCGAATGACCTGAAACTTTTCACACATTTCACAAATAATACTACGAACCTACTCCAACTTCCAAAATTCCTTTCCGACCTCGATATCAAAATTTCCACTACCAACCGAGAAACGCCAAATTTCCAATTTCGCAAATTCAAGCCTAAATATACCCCGGACCTCCAAATTACATTCTGAACACACCGCTATGTCCAAAATCACCTAACAGAGCTATCCGAACCATCAAAATTCACATCTGAGATCTTCTACACATAAATCAACATCCGGTTGACTTTTCCAACTTAAGCTTCTAAGTTAGAGACTTAGTGTCTCATATCACTCCAAAACCACTCCGAACCCGAGCCAACCAACACGATACAATGAAATACAGCTGAACAACACATAAGGGAGCAGAAATGGGGGAAATGGGGCTGAAACTCATGAAACAACCGGTCAGGTCGTTACACTTGCACTTTTGCCAAACACTGCCACACTTTAAAATAATTCGAGTTGGGCTTCCTTCCTTTCCATTTTTTATATGGAATGGATTTTGTTTTGCTATGGGTTACTCTATTTGTATCCTGTTAACCGTAAGAACGGATTCCTCCCACAAGTTTTGTGGCAAACCAAAACTTTACAACTATGCGTTCATCATCTCCTTTAATGAACGATTCTTTATTTTCGCAATCCCATTGGATTGGGGAGTGTAAGGGGCCATTGTTTGATAAATAATTCTATATTCTAAACATATTTCTTCGAAAGGAGATTCATATTCACCGCCTATATCACTTCTTATCATTTTGATTTTCTTTTTAAGTTGTGTTTCAACTTCATTTTTGTATTTCTTGAATGCGTCTATTGCTTCATCTTTACTATTAAGTAAGTAACATAACAATATCGAGTACTATCGCTAATAAAAGTTATGAAATACTTCTTTCCACAGCGAGATGGTATTGACTTCACGTCGAAAATATCTATATGAATTAAGTCTAAAGGATTTGATTTCTTTTCAACTGACGTATAAGGATGTTTAAAATACTTAGATTCAACACATATTTGACGTTTTGATTTGTCGCATTCAATCTTAGGTAATATTTCCAAGTTAATCATTTTCCGCAAGGTTTTATAATTGACATGACCCAAACGTATATGCCATAACTCATTTGACTCAAGTAAGTAAGACAAAGCTGAAATTTTATTATTATTCTCAACAACTATTACATTCATCTTGAAAAGGCCCTTAGTGAGGTAATCTTTTCCTACAAATATTTCATTCTTACTTATTACAACATATTGGATACAAAGACACACTTAAAACTATTCTTAACAAGAAGTCCAGCAGAGACTAAGTTCTTCCTAATCTCGGGAACATAAAGGACGTTGTTCAAAGTCACCACCTTGCCAGAAGTCATTTACAGAAATTCTTCCCGCATCCTTCAATTTTGGCCGTTGCAGCATTTCCAATAGAAAGCGTCTCTTCGGGTTCAGCATGAGCATATGTAGCAAATGCTTCCCTAACAGCACAAACATGGCGAATGGCTCCAAAATCAATCCACCACTCCTTAGGATTTCCCACTAGGTTGCATTCAGAAAGCATAGAACAAGTCATCAACATGTTCGTGCTTTTCAACCATGTTTGCTTGACCCTTCTTCTTGTCTTTCTTTGGAGCACGACAATCTACATATATGTGTCCAGCTTTTCCACAATTGTAGCAATTTTGTTGAACCGCTTCTTGCTTGGGTTATTTTTCGGTCCAGAAGCCTGCTTCATCTTTCTCTTATTTTGAGGAGTATCCTCAATAATGTTTTCTCCCATTATTGTTGAGTTTCCTTGCGTTTGTGTTTCAAGTAGTTTTTGAAGTCCTTCCACAAAGGAGGCAACTTCTCAATCATCGCTGCTACTTGGAATGCTTCATTGATGACAAGACCTTCAATGAAAATTTTGTTAGTAAAAATACTAAAATTTCTACTTTAAACATCAGTATTAATTCGACTTATACCTTCAGCAAGGAGATCGTGAATAATCACTTGCAATTCCTGGACTTGGGTAATAACAGACTTGCTATCTAACATTTTGTAGTCCAAAAACTAAGCGGTAACGAATTTCTTCAACCCGGCATCTTCAGTTTGTATTTCTTTTCAGGCGCAGTCCACATTCTTTTGACGTTTCCACGCCACTGTAAAGTAGAAAAACATATTATGCTGCCACCGCTTGAAATCAGTCCCGAAAAATTTTTCATATTTTTCTGTCGGTGCCAACGCCGGTGTTCGGCTTGTCGATGCATTGGCAGTTACCATCGGAATAGCCCGATTCCCATTGGTATTAGTCATTTCTGTAAAAGAATGACACAAACAAACGTTAAAATCACGTAGATTTTAATCTCCAATGGAGTAGAAAACCAAAAAGGTTTTAATCTCTAGAACAGTGAATATAACACAATTGCAAAAAATAATTATAAATTCCTTAAGCTTGTTAGTATACTGTATTTGTAAAATAATTCTGGAGAAAATAAAATAACATATAAAAAGAAATATAAACGAAACAGAAGTTAATCCGAGCCCACTGAATTCAGAGTGTTTCTTTAAGGAATTTAACCCCCTCCTAGTACCCGAGGTTGTGGATAATTTCCTCCCAGGATAGAACGAATTACACACTGGTGTAGTGATACTTCAAACTCCAGTATTTCAGCGAACACAAAGTTCGGTAGCAAATCACACTTATTGTTGCTTTCTTTGAAGTTAAAACAATGCAGAAGAAATGAGGAGAACTCAGAAAATTGTATAAAAAATCTGAGAGAATAGACTAGTATTTATAGCCAATGTTGAGCTCAAAACTAAAGAGGTGCAATTCTTCAGAATGGTTGTTTAGGTAAAACGGTCATAACATAAATGGCTATTTAAGCAATAATAAACCGGGAATTGAAGAGGGAGGTTAATTTTCAGTTACAAAATCGGAAAACTGAAAACGGATAACGGAAAAAAAATTGGTCTAAAAAATTAATCAATCAAAAATTTGTCTGAAGTCGAAGCCGAAGCAGAGCGAGCGACGACAGCGGCGCGAGGCTTTCCTTCTTCTTAACTCTTTAAGAGGTAGAAGAAGTGTAATTGTATATACACCCATCAAAAATATTTTCCTCTTCCAATATGAGACAATGTCCCTTTGTCAAGGAGGAATCTCAAATGAAACTCAAATATTTTATTTTTCCTTCATTTCCCATTCACCCTCTTTTAAGCCTAATTTAGCTTAAAACCTCAACAAATTATACCAGAAACATTTTATATTTGGTTCGGAAAGCTTATATCCAGTTCCCTTAAGTTACGTGGGAATTATATCCGGAGAAGTTTGAATTTTGTGTTTGAGCACAACTTTAGGTGATTTGCCTGGGTCACTATCAAATAGTTTTCACTCGCTTACCAATAACGACCTTTTCATTTTCACTTGTTCACCAAAGAAACGATAGCACAAGCAACTCTACGTTTCTTTTTTCTCACTTTTCTTTGGCTTATTTAACTGGAAGAGAAAATGAGCTCTTCATTATGAACAAAAACAGGAAAAATGAAATCACTATAAACTCGCTATGTTTACTTTTACTTGTCCGCTAGTGACTTTGCACGCCACTTAAGAAATAATAAATAAAGTGCATATATAATTTACCATGATACCCATATTAATTGGTGTATAGTCTTAATGGATTTAGAAAATAATTTGGAATGAGTAATTAATACTAAGGGCAAATAAGAAAAAATAAATTATATTTCTCTTGATATACGAAATGTGACAAATATAAATGAAAATTTATTTTTATAATACTTGACAACTAAAAGTGAACGGAGGAGTACATAATATCTGGGTCCTTTCTATTCATAGAGATCCGAAAACTCAAGCTATAAAACCGACCAAAAGCTACATCCCACCCAACTAATACTAACTCTACATTAGCTTCAGATACAAATAAATACAAGACCAACCAGGCTTGGCCCAAAAAAAATTATAACCAACTAACTAAAAATGGCCCAAACCTAAGTGACTGAAAATAGCAGAAATAGGACACCATAAATAGTTAAAATATCATGGTATAGCCAGTTTTCACACTGGTCAATGAAAAATAGCCAGCATTTATTAAGTCAATGAAAAATAGCCACTATTTTGCTGCAACAGGGACCGGTCCAGTATAATATACGGGAGTTCTGGTGCATTTGTGTACGAACTCCTGCATATTATGCTGGACCGGTATACTTTGCTAACTCCTGTAAAATTTGCGGGAGACTGGAGCACCAGTGCTCCAAACTCCAGTATATTATACTGGACAATTATACTTGCTGGAACTCCCATAAAATTTGCGGGAGTTCCAGCATAATTATGCTTGAACTCCCGTAAAATTTGCGGGAGTTCCAGCATAGTCATCCTGAAACTCCCGTAAATACGGGAGTTCAAGCATACTTATGCTGGAACTCCCGTAAAATTTGCGGGCGTATTTTTCCGGATTTTGAACAGTGTTTTCGCTCAGATTTAAAGTGGCTAAATTTCGATGACTTTTGAAACTTGGCTATTTTTCAACGACCAGTGGTAAATCTGGCTATTTTTGAATTTCTCCCCCATAAATAGCACCTAATTTTGATGGAATGTAACATTCATTTTAATCATTACTAAACTGGAGAAATTTTCCTCATGTGGTTTATTTGACGCAATAGAACATCTTCTAGTTCAGCTTGCACCAAGAGCGGAATTTGAAAGGTCAGTTGATGGATGTATTATTTCGAAAGCTAATAAATTGTATATAGTTTGTCGTGTATGATTAAACTTTTTACTCGTCTAAAGTTGTGTTATACAGGAATACTGGCAAATGTAGACAACCCACAAAACAAAAGGCCAAGATGGAGAGATCTATATGCAAAGTATATGTAGTTGAGGAAACTTCTTGTTTGTGTTCATATTATTTTTATATTCATGTGTCATATTTGAAAAAATAGGCCACATCAGCAGGATGACAAAAGTGAGATAGATCCTTTGGTACCACCTATATCCATATTCAATCAACTTGGTAGAGGTTTGAAAATGCTCGTAATTAATATTTGATTGATATGGAGAAAATATAAACTACAACACATATATTATTGAATTTTCCGGAAGCTCAACCATATTATAGGTAAGTTTCGAATTATATTATTGACTTACATGCACAAACCATTAATATCTTTAACTAATGACATTTGTAAATGTGTTGGACAGTTACTTCGTGAGTCAGTTTGTCCATGATACTGCTTATCCAAGCTCTTTAGAGCAATTTAGAGATTCTCTAAGTGTTAGCTAATTTGTAAACATGACATTCATTATTTACAAACTATATGTGTTTTCTAGCTTTTCGGGTTTCTTTAACTCTACATAGGTCCATTATTCCAAGTAACAGTACGTGATCAATTTTTTGATGATATCACTAGCTTGAGGACTGAACCTCGAGATCAAAATAATGTCTAAGTACATTTTAATGGGTACAAGTTTCAAACAAAAGAATTGTCTAAGCATAAGAGAATTATTATCAATAGTGTGATGTAGGTGAAAAGTAGCGACGATAACCAGGATGAGAAAATATATATATATATATATATATATATGTATGTATATATATATATATATGTATGTATGTATTTCTTAAAAAATGTGAATACTCTATAAAATAATATTATTAGTAGTAGAATGGTCTTAAACAAATTGGGATTTTAAAAAAGACGAACTGAAATATTCCAAATATATAGAAAGAATGACAAAGTAGATTGAGTAACAAAGTAACCGAAATTAAGATACAGTAAATAGCACGCATTTCAAAAAAGAACTCTTATCTTGACTAGTACCAAAGTATCCCAGTATTGCAGCTACAATTTGAAGTAATAAGGAAAAGTACAGAAATAACCAATTTAAACTCAAACTTACCGACCTCTAGCTTAAGATTAGATATTTATCAAAAGTAGTCGAAAATTAGAGATACACGGAAGGAAGGATTCTTCCATCCGAGAATCACGCTAAAGATCTTCCTTCCTTTCCTATTTTTTAAGTGTATCAATTTCACTAAGACCTACATTTTGTAAATCACGACATTTTCTCCCAAAAAATTCCCAAAAGGAGTTCAAATTTCACTCAAAAATCAATCAATTTCACTGTAGAAGTAACAATTTCCTTTTGCAATTTCTCTGTAGATACAACTTTGATGAAGGAACTACGAACTGCAATCAAAATCAATCAAAGAATTAGTGACTTTTGGCCTAATTTCAGCCACTACAATGGCAAATTTGCCGATTTTTATTCAGTATGATGGCTGATGGAATGTTGACAACAGTTTTGTGGATTACAATGCCGATGCTGTATTAGTTACTCCAAATATAAGTTTTAAAAATTTTGTAGACGTGATTTCGAAATAACTTATGATAGATATTTCATTGAATGTTATTGAAATCAAATACATTGTCCTAAACGGTTCTCCACCAATAGTGATACACAATAATATGGGTGTATCTATATATCTTGAGCTGAAAAGAAGCTCGAAATCTTTGTATTACATCGAATCAAAAGGATATGGATATGATCTGCTACAATTCAAATTCTGCTGTGATTTCCTCAGAGTGTGCACAAAGCTCAGTTATACAGGAGACATACAATAGCGATACAATTAATATGATTGAATTTGGGGATGGAGAAGACTCGCAGGATATAGAATCTGATGAAAATACAATATTAACTAACCCTCAACACAGATGTAGAAGAAGATCAAATTTATAAAGACAAGGCTATGATAATCAAAGTCATGGAGCATTTGGCAGTAAAAAAAAATTTAGTTTAAGATGCATAGATCAAGTGAAAGCAGGTATCAAAATATTTACTGTATAATTATGTATCTAAATGTATATCGTAGTTGATGTTAGAAGCATAATTGTGCAGAAAATAAGTTACTGCTTGTAAGTCTGTGGTTGTACACTTTTAAGTTATGGTTGTCACCGTGTAGTACTGTATAGTCGTTTTATTTTTTCATCTAGTATTATTGATGGCAGTGTGTATCACTATATATCATTGTATTTCATGTCACTCTGTTTATTGATGAAAAAGTTTATATCCTAGTCGTAGGTACTGCCTAGTAAGCATCAACAACAGCTGCGATTAGTGTTTTAAGTCTTCGAGCTTCAAAAAAGCAAAACTTTTCAAAGTTAGAAATTTCAGCAAACTGCACTCATGCGTGCTGAAAGACAGATCTTACGCACAACGTCAAGTTACTGCAAAATTCATCGGCGATCCTATGATAGACAAGTATAAGACCCAAAAATAATATACACTCCTAATGACA